GAAGAATTGTAAAGCTATGAAATCTTAAGCAGCTTAAGAAACCTGATGAAAATGCATTTGGACCATTGCTTGTATGAACTATGTGATGTTCGCATTTTTTGCAGCAGAAAGTCAAATTTCAGGTTTGTACATTCGTTGCAGGAGAATAGATTATTCTAGAGGAGTCTTGACATGTGGTCGTTAAGATCTGAAGCTTTGGAGTCAGATGACCTGGGCTTCATTCTTTCCCAGTCACATATGTGTGATCCTGGGCAAGTGATGTAGCTTCTCTGTGACTCAGTTTCTCCAACTGTAATAAGTCCTGTAAAATTTCTAGACAGTGTCTTGTGCATCGTAACTGTGTTAGTTATTTACTTCTGTGTAACAAATTACCCTAAAACTTGGTGGCTTAAAGTAGCAAAAGCTTACTATCTCTCAATTCCATGAGTAAGAATCAGGGCACAGCTTAGATGAGTGTCTCTGGCTCAGAGCTTCTCCTAAGGTTACAGTCAAGCCTTAGCCCAGGCTAATGTGAAGGGTCAGCTACAGTCTCATCTGAAGGGTGGAGGTGGCTGTGTGTGCTTGGGACCTGCTTCCGAGTTCACCCACACAGATGGCGGCGGCCACATGGGCCCCTGCGCAGGATGGTTTCAACAGTCTGGCAGTTGGCGTCCCCCAGATTAAGTAATCCAGGAGAGAACGCAAGAGGGCACCCAAGATGGAAGCCACAGTCTTGTCGCCTTGGACGTGACATTCCATTACCTCTGCCCCACTCTGCCTGCTGGAGTCGCTCAATACAGTCCACTCTCAGGGGAGAGGATTGTAATAAAGACATGAATACCAAGGGGTAGGATAGCCGGGCACCGTCGTCTTGGACGCTGCCTGTAACAGTAACTCATGCTTTCACGTCTATCTTCTCTCCTATCTACATGTCGGTGAATTCCAAACCTCCTCATCCAGGTGTCCACCTGATAGCTCACTAGGAAGTCTAATAGGCATCTTAAGCTTAACATGGAAAAATGGACCTTCCTGACACCTGCTTTTTCCAGTTTTTTCCATCTAGGTGAATGGCAACTCTATTCTTAGAGATGATGGGGTCAAAAATTTGGAAAGATCCTTTACTCTTTTCTTTCTCTCCTACCACTTGTTGACTTGACCTTCACCATGTGTCCACAATATCACCCGTTCTCACAGCCTCCTCTCCGGGTATCATCACCTCGGTCCACGTGTTGAGCGTCTCACCTGCATTTTTGCAGTCGCCTAAGTGGACTCTATTTTCAGCCTTGCCTCCTTAGAATCTGTTCTTCAGACAACAGATAGAAAGATCCCTTAAAACATAAGGCAGATCATCATCCTGCTCACTTCAAAATTCTCTAGTGTCTATTTTAAGGTAAAAAGCCAGTCTTTACAGTGGCCTCCTAGGCCTTTTGTGATTGTAACATTATTCTTTTTGTCTATTACTGTATAAAACGTTGTCAGTATGCATAATAAATACTATATTAATCTATGTCTGGGTAAACACATCTTAATATGTTTAAGTTACCTAGAATTGATTTTTTACCCTCTTTTCTCTTTTATTTTTTTTTTTAAAACACTGTTTTAATTGGAGGATAATTGCTTTACGACAGTGTGATGATTTTTGCCATACATCAACATGAATCTGCCACAGATATACATATGTCCCCCCATCCTCAGCCCCTCTCCCACCTCCCTCCCCACCCCATCTCTCAGGTTGTCTCAGAGCACTGGCTTTGAGTGTCTGGCCTCATGCATCGAACTTGCACCGGTCATCTGTGGCCTCATGCATCAACTTGCACCGGTCATCTGTGGCCTCATGCATCGAACTTGCACCAGTCATCTGTTTTACATATGGTACTATACATGTTTCAATGCTATTCTCCTAGATCGTCCCACCCTCACCTCCTCCCACTGAGTCCAAATGTCTGTTCTTTACATCTGTGTCTCCTTTGCTGCCCTGCCTGTAGGATTGTCATTACCGCCTTTCTGTTTTGTGAATGGTGTAAGGGAGTGATCTGACTCTTCTCAAATGGAAAGCTAATCTGCCCAGCACTATTGACAGACAAGAACACTCGTTCCCCACCAAGGGGTTATTCCGCCACGAACCCATTACTCACCTTCTATGCAATCTGTGTCTAATTGTTGGAATTTAGGATTAAAATGAATCTTAATGGGTCATGTAAGATAAAATTGTGTTTGTGGAAATTTAATTTGATGTGGTATACTCAATTGCGTATAAAAACAGCTTGAATTATCACTAGGAATTCATTATGGAGAGCCCTTACTTAGGCCCCTTTATTTGATAGATAAAGAACTAATTCTGCATAGGAGATTATGACTTAAATTTAAAAATAGACTAAGCTGCAAAACTCACCAAAAAAAAAAAACACTCATGCCTTTTAGATCACTGCTTTTGAGTTATTGTTGATATGCTATACTTTGTTGCTGCTGCTTATAACTGTTCAGAAAATTATCACAAAACGCTTATCAAATTTTAAAACTCTGTTAGGATATCATCTAGAGTGAAATCCCTGCTTCTGTAGCTAACTTTCAGTGCTCAGGAATATCAATGAATGCTGTAGGCCTCTGGTATTCCTTTCGTCTTTCTGGACTTTTGGTCTTATCTCTATTTATAACTTCAACCGGCAAGCAAGAATGGGCAGGCAAAGGAGATTAAACTCAAGCCAGTTTGTTTTGTGGGTGATTAGCAGCACTGCTGAAAAGTTTTTTTAAAGGAGGAAAGTGTATTACGATTCTTGCTTAAAAGGAGGTATGTAGAATTTTCAGTGGTTTTCTTTTGATATAAATGGTTTCATGCTTGTTGCACTATGTGTAATTGAGGGTCAGCTACAAAACAAAATGAATCACTTCCAAGTTCTTCACATCTACAGAGATAAGAGTGGGAAATCTTGTCACTCAGATGAGGCCTTTTTTCTTTTCTCTCCTCTGCAAATAGTCTAAACCTTACTCCTCTGAACACCTGGTTTTCGAAGCCAGAGATAGGGCCCTGAGCTAATAATGGAGACTTATCACCTCTGCCAGATCACTTGACTCTGCTTGGTGACAAGAATATAATCCAGAAATGAATTTCTTTACACAAAAATAAAACAGAAAAAGAGAAAGAATACTATGAGAAAGTATTGTGCTTCTGGTTAACTTTTCAAAGCAACATATTACTTTGTATTCAGTGACATTATTATGCCCATTAAGAGTCAGAGGGCATGAGTGATTAAACCCAGAATCTAGTCAAGGCCCAAATTGACTTGCTGGGTGACTTTAAGAGGTCCTTCACCCTTTCTGGGCCAGCAGCTTTATTTGCAGAAGAATCTTGGACTAGATGACAAAGACACTTCTAGTTCTAAAATACCAGTACATAAAGCTGGTAACAAGAGAATTGCAGCAGTTTATTTTTAGTAAAAGAAGATTGATACCAGCCAGTAACTCTCAGTGGGTTTGCTTAAATCCTCCTCTCTTCCAAATTCTGTTTTTACCAAAACGGTAAACTGAAGACAATTTGTCATGCTTTGAACTTCCTGGCTCATGTTGATTTGTATCAATATGTTACTGTTACACATTTGAGTGGGAGCTGAGTTACATTTCATGAAAACTGCTCAGAAAACTAATAAAATCGTTACAACCTCACTTTCAGTGGGTATTGATAGCATCAAGAAAAATAAAAAGAGCTTTGGCCATTTTCAGGCATTTGCTCTTCCAGCTAGACTGAAAATATAATGGCCTTACACTCAACTCACTTGTTTAAACATTAACCAAAGCGGCTTTCTCCTCCTCAAAATGTTGAAGTGCCAACATGAATTTAACCAGCAGTCCACACCCCCCACCCAAGTCCTCTTAAAAAAACATTGAGTATTCTATAAAGTAATAGCTTCAGAAGGCTTTCAAGGAATTGATTATTCACACAGCAGCCTAGTGAGGTGAAAACGTATATGCTGTCTCTTACAACTGGGTCAGTGCGTGGTGAGCTCCTTGATTCAGGACCTTTGGAGATGCATAGAGGCTTTCCAGTTACAAGTGGGGTGCAGTCACCATAGTTAGAGAACGGGGTGACAGCCCTCCAGTGGGCTTTCAGAATCGATGCGGAAGAGCTCAGAAAAGCCTCAGAAAGGGTGCAGACATCTTTTGAGGATCGTTTCCAGGCTCTCAAATGGCCATTGTCAAAGAACAAAGGTTGGGGGGGGGGGGTTGACTAAGCATCCGAAGAGGCTTGAACAGCACCCTGTGACCAGTGAGCCTTGGAAGCTCACAGCCCAGTGGAGAACTTTTCAGAGCGACTTGTCACACACAGTTCTAATGTGTGGGCTTTATCAGCTGCTCTGAGTGGGGGTTAAGAGGCATGCATATTTTACCCATTCATTATATATTCAGTGTGTGAAGTAAATGCCTCTTTCCAGCTTGGGTGGAGGTTATTTGTCAAGATAGACCAAGTCAGAACGAAAGCCCATCAATTACCTGTTTGGAGCACAAAATGGAAAAAGTCCTTTCTCTCACACGTTGCCATTTCTGTTTAATCCTAGTAGTTCTTCGTTGAAAACTACTAATATTAGCTCCTTCAATTTGAGTCTTTCATGGGCAGAATCAGATGAATTTTAATTCAAAACATAACTTTCTCTACTTTCTGCCCTCGAGAACTGCACGTCAGTATCTCTATTTCAACATCACGAATTCTTTAATTTCTTATTTCAGTTAGTAAACTTGAAATCTTGCAAGCACATTACCAGTGGTAAGTGTCTTAAGATGCAGCACCTAACAAGTAGGGACTTTGTTGTCTTCCCCCTCAACCCCAACCCTCCCTGTCACCGGCATTTCAAAGTACCATATGGAGATGGGTTGTGAGATAGATTCGTTCTGGTAATTAACATGCTTGTTTGAGGTTATAAAATATACATCTGAGAAAGGCCAGGGATTTCCCCCTGAATGTCAACGAACTGCTTGAAGTGGCATTTATTTTTCATTCTGACTTGGTGTTGTGTTTTGTTTTACTGCAGCAGTCTGGAGCAAAATGAAAGAGCTGATATCGAGGCCTCCCAAGTAGTGCTGCTACAGACCATGAACAAGAGAGGAAGAGGAGACCTCGGTCTGCACAAACGATCCTGAAATGCAGATGGTCTTGGGTAAGTCATCCGAAGGGCTTGGCATCCATCAGCAGTAAATTTCATCCATCATCGTTGGTTTGGTGTCCCAGGACATCTTATTCAAGTTCTCTACAACCCGAGCAATAGGATGTTGAGGAGATGTTGATCAAGTGCCAGAGAGCCGAAAGAACAATGAAGTTGACTTAGCGTGTTCATTTCTGAAATTTGCAGAAGAGTAGGATTTGAGCGGAATGCATTGGTGGTTTTAGGAAAGACCAGGAAGAGCCCAACTAAACACATAGGCAACAAACTTTATCTTCCATGTATTGCATTTTACTGGAGAGAATATTGGATTAATCACATGAGAGACAGTAGATTCAGTCTAGTGGCACATTTGTTATCCTTTAAATGAAGTATTGGGATGAGCAAGGTGAGAGGCATTGTGAGTTTCCAGAGCCTATTCAACAGGATCTATCGTGAACCTTTTAAAAATATATATATATATTTATTTATTTGGCTGCGTTGGGCCTTAGTTGTAGCGTGTGGGGTCCTTGCTGTGTCAGGCAGGGTCTTGCGTTGGCTCAGTAGTTGTAGCACAAGGACTTAGTTGCTCTAGCGGCATGTGGGATCTTAGTCCTCCGACCAGGGGTCAAGTCTGCATCCCCTGCATGGAAGGTGGATTCTTAACCACTGAGCCACCAGGGAAGTCCCTATTGTGAACCTTTTAACTAAACATGGTGTCCTGGAACGACAGTCTTGATTTGGGGGTAGGTGGGGGGTGGAATGCAAATTTGCCAAGCTATAAATAAATAATAAATTCCAAACTCAACACCAAAATAATGTGGACTTCCAAGGAAGTTTTATCAGCCTACTTCAATGTATTTCTTGGAAACAAAGGCCTCAGATGGAAGCCCAGTTCTGCTCACTTATCTTGGTGACCTCGGACCACTTATCCACCCTCTTGGAATGAGTCACCTGTAAAAACACCACTGTCTTGAGGGTGTCCAGGGTGGCTTGCAAATGTGAAATTCCACGGTTCACTTTAGTGAAGTTAATGAAATAATTATACCTTTTGATTCTTGCTTCTCTGAATTTATGGTGTGCCCTTGGGAAGTCGTCATTGGCAGGGGGCTCACTGGACCAGCCGCTGCGAAGAAACGGGTGCAGGCACCAGGGGTTGCTCCTTCCTTCTGTTTGGTGACACAGCCCTTTGGACAAGCAGGCTTTGCAGTGTCTGGCTCATAATTTATTCCTTTGCAGCATTAAATAAAACATGGCATAGTGTTTTATGAATATAATATTAGAATAAATAAGATAGATTGCTTTTGAATTCTTATCCTCTATTTTTTCTCTTGGGGATCTAACATCTTCCTTCTCTGTGCTCAGTGTCACTGTGTCATGGGTTTTCTGTCAGTCCTTTAACCCCGAAGAGCCCCAAACTTTGTTTCACGTTGAATGGAATTTATGATTTCTCTTTCTTACTCGGTATCCCTTATTCTGAAGCAGAGCTGTGAATGACACGTTAAATGATGTTCACATGTCACTCTTGTTAGCAGCTGGCTGGCTGTCAGCCTCAGAGTGGTGCATTATTTGGGTTTCATAACAGCATTTTTTTTCTCTTACAAATGTTAAATTACGAAGTGCAGGAAACCACATGAATGTGGCAGAATGAAAAAATGCAAACACAGTGTTAGCTGGAGATGCCAGTTTTACGATTTTCCTGGTGACCGTCTCCTCCTGCAGTCGATGTACGAAGCCTCTCTACCTGTTTGGTGGTGGCCTTGTAGCCCTGTCTCCGTCTTCTATTATGCCTTGTGCTGCTGAACGGAGAGGTTGGATTAAGATGATTGCATGGGGCTGTCTCTTTTTATTGAAGTCCTTCCTGACCACCAAGCCTGGCTCACACTCAGAAAGTCTGCCCTGAATCCTCAGGACCTAACGACTGACTTCTCCTTATGAACTCCTGTACCAATGACAGCCTGCATCTTAAAAAAAAATCTGTTTTCAAATCCTTGGCTGTGCACCACTGTGTGCATTGTGGACTTGAGGACAGGAATCAGGTCATAGCCCAGTGGTTCTCAAAGGTGGTCCAAGCCCCAGCACCCCCTGCAGCAGAATCGCTGGGACATATGTATTAAAGCTGCAGATTTAGCAACACGGGGCTCGATGAGTCACAATTTCTGAGGGTGCTGAGCCCAGGAAACTCCTCGCAGAGAGTTCTTCCGCACTGAGGTGTGCGAGTAACTCTCTGAGGCTACTTCATCCTCCTCTTGGTCTCCTTGCCCGCAGCAGAGGGTCCAGATCTGAGCACATCTTAATGTGCCCAGGAAATACTTGCTCGTTGATCTGAGCAGTGTCAAACCGTTGAGGGTTATGATCGCTCTTCTATCTCCTGACCTTATCAGGATGTGGAGTCAGCGTATTCTCTGAACCCCTGAGAAACCCCTTTATGTCTAAATGTGTGAAATGCTCCCCTAGGTCAGCGGCTCCTTTAGAAACCTGGTTATGTCTCTTGCTGTGTTACCACTGACTCTTGACTGTTCCCTGGTAATGACAGGAACCCTAACCCCACGTCTCACAGAGCAGAAATATCAGCTGTGGGTGCAGGACTAGAGGGAGCCGATAGGATGGGAGAGAACGGGAGGGAGGCGTGGTGCTCTGGTCACTTGGATGCTGTATCCTTGGTTCCCAGAGCCTCCTCTGCTGCTGTGGCCATTCGTTCTGAATGCTGTTACTTTGAGCTGCTCGGCTCGCAGGTTGTCCGTTTGGGTGGCAGGAGAGCGGTCCCATTGCTGGAAGGATAAAGCTGAGCTGCAGCGGACACAGCGTCAATGCACCCGCAGTGATGGTGGCAGATTCAGGATCTGACTCTCACGTTGACAGATGGTGATGGTGATGCTTGACCCTCTCCTTCCCTCTTCCACCTCCAGCCCGGCCTTGGGTGATCCAGAAGAGATGTGGTGTTTGCTTTTGGGGCGTCTCCTGCAGGGCTTTGCTGGAGGATCCACAACCGGCAGAGCATCGGACAGCTAGTTCAAGTCAGAAACTAAACCAAAGAACTCAGAGAAGTCTGGCTGGCCGAGGAGGGAACAAGTAGGGGAATCAGGAAATTTATTAGCTGCCAAGATACCCACTACCCCAGGCACCAAACACTTTCTGCAGCCTTTCTTTTGACTCTTGCTTTGTCTCGGTTTTTCCTAGCACAGTTGTGCCAAAGCTGACTTAAGCTTGTATTAAGAGTACATTCGAGGCTGGGGACAGGAAAGCATCTTCTTCTGGGTCTCCACCTAACCTCAGCTGCTGGGGGTTTGGTAAGCAGAGAGTCGACCAGCGTGGATGGGGCTTTTTCTCAGATTCTCAGTTAAGGGAAGGAAAGAAATGCATGGGTTTCCAAAGCAGTGTTAAGGGCAAAAGAGGCTTTTTAATATATGCTTCGTGGAGACCTGACTCGATTTTCCTCTGTGTGACCTCTTCCAGATATAAGTTACTGATATAAGCATCTTCGAGCCTTTGTTAAAGGCTTTAAGCGATAACTGGGGAGAAAATTAAAGAAATGATAAAGTGTGTGATTTTCGCAAAATACCAGGTGCTGGCTTTGCTGTTTGGGAGGTCTTTAGCGGTGCCTGGAGTATTTCAAGTAGCTGTCCACAGTTGGAAAAGAGAAAAACTGCTTTTAAAAGAGCATGTGTCTCGTTAGAAACTATGTCACTTGTGCTGCTTAGCACGAGGCAGGCTTGAGAATTGCAGGGTTTCCGAATGGCCTCCTAACCCCTGGGCCCTGCTTCTGGAAGGCAGGTGGAAGAAAAGAGCAAGCTCAGCACCCTCCTTGAAGACCATGGTCGGAAAGCTCTCAGAATATGTTCTAGTTCAGAGGAGTTAGTTACCCTCTGCGTCCCTGAGCCGCTGGGCGGTAAAGCAGCACCAGGCATGCCTTCGATGAGATGTGTTACAACTCGCTCTTCTCCTGATACCATCACGGGCTAATAATTACATCAGCCCTTCAGAGCAGCTGTGTGGTTTGGTCTAACTGTGAGTGAAACCACACCAGTTCAGGAAACGCAGTGAATTGTCTTGTAATAGGCGTCATCAAAGCTCACGTTGATTGCCTTGGAAGGTACCCTTCCTTGGTGACAGTTTGAGAGCTTTGAAGGGAGGTGTTTGCTCTAGCCTCAAAAGAAGTTAGAATTAAACGGCCACGTTTGCACACTGTCGGAGTGAAAACTGAAACTCACCCATGTTGGTTCCTGCACGCGCGCGCCCTGAAGGCTTCACCGCTTCATGGCATCATTATCAGCTCCGCTCAAATGACTAACATTGTTCCCCTTTCTCCGCAGAGTTTAAGGTCACTGACTTCCAACTCCCCCCCCCCCCCCCCCCATGGCTCTGATTTGAATATTCCAAAGGTGTCTTCACCTTGAGTCTAAACCTGTACCTGTCACTCTCCTGTCTCCCTTTATGGGTTCCTTGTTTAGAGAAACAAGGTCACCAACCGGCTAGTCACTGAGGCCGGTCACCTCCTCCTCTTCCTGTATGTCATCTCTTGACCACATGCTGTAGTTTTGCCTCTTAAATAGATTACAGAGTAGCCACTCTCCTCCTTTCCTCACCTAAGTCCTCTTTCAGGCTGTTAGCATCACCTGCCTGGACCAGGGCAGCCACTTCCAAAGAGTATTCTGCCTTTTTTTTTTTTTTAAGGTTTATCTTACTTTTTAGCTGTGCTGGCTCTTGTTGCTGTGCGTGGCCTTCCTCCAGTTGCTGTGAGCTGGGGCTACTAGCTGCTGTGCACGGGCTTCTCATTGCAGTGCCTTTTCTTGTGTTGCAGCACAGGCTCTAGGCACTCAGGCTTTGAGAGTTGTATCGTGTGGACTCAGTAGTTGGGGTGGTGGGCCCAGTCACTCCATAGCATGTGGGATCTTCCCGGACCAGGGATTAAACTGATGTCCCTTGCATGACAAGGCGGATTCTTAACCACTGGACCCCCAGGGAAGCCCCGAAAGAGTATTCTTGTCACCAGTCTTTCCC